TTTTTCCCTTTTACTCAGAGGCATTTCCTCTGAGAGAAGAGACAGTCTCTGGTTAAGATTTTTTTTCTTTTGTGCCTTTGAGTCTGTTTTTGACTCCTGGTGACTGCCTGGCTGAGTCTCTGAAGTTTTCTTGGCAAGGTTTCAGAAGCGGTTTGCCCTTGCCTGTCTCCTAGGGCTGAGAGAGAGGGACTGGCCCAAGATCACCCAGCTGGCTTCCATGTCTAAATCAGGATTAGAACTCACAGTCTCCTGGTTTCTAGCCTGGTGCCTTAACCATTGCACCGAACTGGCTCTCCTGATTAAACATTGCAATGTGTTAATAAAGGATATAAAATATATCCTTATATACAGGTAGTCTCCGGGTTAAGAACAACCCAGTTTACAGATGACCTATAGTTAAGAATGGGCCTACTGTAGCAAAATTCGAGTTAAATACCCTATGGTTCGAGTTCATTACACAATACTGCTTATACAGCATTATACAGTAATACTGTTCCGGCTTACATGCAAATTCAACTTAAGGACAGACCTTGGGAATGGAAGGTGTTCTTAAACTGGGGACTACCTGTATTATATACCATTTTGAACCCAGGGTTTTGTGGGGAAATGACTGGGAGGACAGGATTGGTGCGCCCATCCATCCATCACACTAACACATTCCTTCTCCTATCTCAGCATGCAAGGATTTAAAAATGTGTCCCTCTTCTCACCTTCCCTCTTCTCATGCCAATGCTATGATTGCTCAGGGCTGTGAAACGAAATGCTCCCTCCATTTAAGAACCAGTCCAGACAAGCAGTTGTTTAATGGGCTGTTGACAGGAGCCTGATCCTGCTGAGGATGTGATCAGGGCTTGTGATTAGGCTTCATGAGCAGCAGGGATATATTTGGTAGGAGTTGCAGTGCAGGAGGCTCCAGATGGCCTGCAAATTGCTCATAAGAAAAGCAGGATTGTTCTCGATGAATCTACAGTAGATTCTCTGTCTCTGAAGCAGGAGCTCAATTTGTAAGACACATTTTGGAATAAAAATGGAGGAGCAGGTGGCATTGGCTCTCCTCCCCTCCCCTCCCCACCCCCCATTCTGTAATGCAATTGCTTGAGGAGAGTCTACAGAGGAACAAGGGTTCACATGGCATTTGTAACACCAAGAACCAGTCTGGTAGAGTGAATAAAGGTGCTGGTCTAGAAGCTGAGAGATCACAAGTTCTAGTCCTTCCTTAGGCGCAAAAGCCAATTGGGTGACTTTGGGCCAGTCATTCTGAGCCCTGCATTTTAAAACAGACACTTTAGGAACAGTTTTTCATCCAGCCTGACAAAGAAATGCTCTCGTAAGACCCTTACATAACAGTAAATAGGATGACACATATTGGTTGGGCACAGGAAAGCGTTCCTGGGAGGGAGAGATAAGGCCCAAAATTAAAAATAGCCATCACTGACATTCGAAGGCAATAGCAATATGCATGTTTTTGATGCAGCACTTGGAGTTTGAAAAGACCGTACAGCCTCTATTTGTTCCCTTTTCTTTTCTGTCTTGGCAGTTTTTCATAAGGATGGCAGGGTTGGGGCCGAACTGCCATCCTTATGAAAAAAGCGGGGAGAAGAAAGGGGGAAGAGTCATGCCTCCAACCTCCCACTATTCAAATATTAGGAACTGTCAGTCTTTTCCCCTGGAATGGGAGTACGGGATGACTTCCTTCTTACTGGAGGAAGCACTCCAGCAAGTTCCTGGGATTAAGTCACATAGGGCTTTCAAGATCAAAAGCAACTCTTTGAATGGTACCCAGAAATCTAAGGGAATCCAATGTGGTAAAGGTATCACACGGCTGTAATGGTTGTCACGTAATAATATGGGGGGAAGGGTAGAGATGTATTCTGCACCAACTACAGTTTATGAGTAGTCTTCAAAGGAAGACCCAGGTAAAGCATATTGCAGTAGTCTAGCCTAGTGTTGAAGCAATGAGCATGAAACTGAGCATAAAACTGGAAACTGAGCATGAAACTGAGCAAACTCAGGGAGGCAGTGAAGGACAGGAAGGCCTGGCGTGGTATGGTTCATGGGGTCACGAAGAGTCAGACACAACTTAACGACTGAACAACAACAGCCTAGTGTTGATGAAGATACCACTTATATAGTCTATTAGATTGATATCAGGCAGGACTACATAATTAATTTAAAAGCCAATTTAACTGCAATATTGGTGACAACTTTGCAGTGCCTCCACTTAGAGGCAGATCTGAATGATAGCCTGATGTTATAATTTTAAAAAATGACAACCATCCATTGTTTGTTTGTTTGATCCCCAAAGACTTATACACCGGCTAGTCATCACGCTACCCAGTATAAGTTAATGTGACCATCTGGCACTTTTTTCTGCATTCCGTCTTAAGACTGGGTCTAAGGTTCCATTGCCTTTGGCATCAGTGATTCGTATCTCTGCCTCATTACTTTGTTTGCTTTGTTTTCTGATGAATGTGAAGAACTTGAATGCTTGCAAACTGTTTTATGTCACTCTTTTTAGATTCTTTTCATATGTTATTTTTTTGCTCATGTCGTTCTATCTTATTCTTTCTGCTGCTGTTGTTTGAGTGACATTAACATTCAATACATAGCTACTACTGATAAGATCTCTGTATAAATGTACATAAAACACAGATCTCTATCTTGCAAACAAGAAGGCAAGATGCCCAAGGGAAATGGAGAAGGGTGAGGAAAAAAAATACATCTTGAAGAGGCCAGAACAAAAGAGTGTGCTGCTAATAAAGCAAGTACTTACATAAAGCTAGAGTTAGGAGAAATTGTCCAATAGTGTATTGCCTGAGATAGAGCAGCAATGCTGGCTAGGGATTATCTATCTATCTATCTATCTATCTATCTATCTATCTATCTATCTATCTATCTATCTATCTATCTATCTA